CTCAACACATTGAAATCTCCGGAAGAGAATACATAAGACTGCTAAGAATATGGAAAAAAATATGTAGATGTTTCTCTTTATGTGAGTCAAGTGGATGTACACCAGAAAAGGACACAGCATTGTAAATCAGCTATAATCCACTATATAAAAATGATAAATTACAAAGAGAGAGAGAGAGAAATTCTTAGTAAATTCTTTCAGCAGTGGTGACCCAACCTGGAGTCACATGATGTAGACCTAGAGCTGGCTCGGGCCCTGACGCTGGACACTCCTGGCGCTGAGAGACACCTGGTGAAGATGTGCCCGCAAATGCAGCCCCACTGCAGTTGTACTGCCTGGTCCCCACTCCATGGGTCCCATATCTCCAGGTGCAGGGGAGCCAACCTACAGCTAGCCTAGCCCTCTAACCCTGAACCTCTAACCTAGATCCTTTAACTCTGATCCCTCAAAACCTCATCCTCTTAATGGACCTTCTAATACTGTCCCTAAGCCTCTAGCCCTGACCCTGACCCTATATTCTCACCCTGAGCACTGAGCCTGAATTTTTTTAATTAAATGTACAAGTCTTTTATTTTTTTATTATTTATGACTGCGTTGGGTCTGCATTGCTGCACGTAGGCTTTCTCTAGTGGCAGCGAGCGAGGGCTGCTCTTCGTTGTGGTGCGCAGGCTTTCATCGCAGTGGCTTCTCTCACTGCGGAGCATGGCCTCCAGGCACGCGGACTTCAGTAGTCGCAGCATGCCGGCTTAGTAGTTGTGACACGTGGGCCCTGGAGCACGCAGGCTTCAGCAGTTGCGGCACGTGGGCTCAGCAGTTGTGGCTTGTGGGCTCTAGAGCGCAGGCTCAGTAGTTGTGGCGCACGGGCTTAGTTGCTCCGTGGCACGTGGGATCTTCCCGGCCCAGGGTTCGAACCCGTGTCCCCTGCATTGGCAGGTGGACCCTCAACCACTGTGCCACCAGGCAAGTCCCTGAGCCTGAATTTCAATCCTTAATCCTAACCCTCTAACTCTGAACCATACACTACTCCCTAACCCTAACCTCTGACCTGACCATGATCCTACACCACCTTTAACCCTTAACTATAGGCTCGTATCAGAACAGACTAAAAATTTGAACCCTACTCCAATCCCCTGAAGTCGCATGAAGAAGCAGGTAATTCAGATACACTCATGCCTCACCTCTTCCCTACCTCCAATCTCCTTTCCCCACACCTAAGACCACCTTGCTTCCTTACCCCATAAGTATCTCAAGCCCCTTGCCTCTGGGGAGGTGGATTTGATATCATCACTTGGCTGCCTTGCAACCTCGGCATCTAAGCATTTAGCTTGCTGCATGACAAATGAGCCTGGCTCCAAACACCATGAGTCCCTAAGCCTCAAGGCAGGGAAGCTTCTATAAAACACATCCTG